ACACTACCTGCCCCCCACCCCCAAAAAGTGAAGTTTTGTTGAAATCGGTTTAAAAATGTAGGAAATCCGATCCCATATATAAAGGAACACACACATATACTTATTATAAAACCCAGGTTGTTTGTGTAACTCGATATGAGTTGTCCCCCTTTCATTCTGGCGACAGAATCGTGTTTTCAAATTGATTTTGTGCAAAAACAATTGTTTTTTCCAATTTGGGGCGCTGTCAGAACCACCGCAAGGTAATTTTATGCAGTCCTGTGAAGTTTTGTTGAAATCGGTTGAAAAATGTAGGAAATCCTATCCAATATATAAACGTACAGACACACACACACAATCTCCGTTTTATAATAAGTAAGATAAGATTTGTTATAATTTTCGAATAAATTTTATATCTTTGGTAAATTAAAAGCATTAAAAATTATTCTTAATTTGGATAAAAATTTATTAACCCAACTCATTGTTATGTTACTTTAATCAAGATCTTTCCGATTCACAAATACATTTCACTAGACATGAAGGATGTAAGTGCTAAGAAAATACCCCCCCAAAAAAAAAAAAAAAATCATTTGTTGCATATGAAGTGGGCAGAGTTTTGGACATATGATGGTGACTTTACTATTAATGGATCAATTATATCCCCAAGGAAGCAACTCGGAGGGTACCACACAGAGCTTTGGCAGCTAAATACTGTCTTTGTTAATGTGGAAATAATCATAGATGCTCTTATGCAATCCAACCAGATGGTGAGCCTGGACATGGCGAGTTTGTTCCATGGAGGAGGCACTATTAGTAGTCAGAGACCGACTAGCCTCAGACACATCTCTAGAACATACAAGTTTATCAATAGTTAACCTGATGGAGATGCCGACTTTCTGAACATGAACACACTTCGGAATGGAATCGGACATATATTGGCAGGATGAGGGTTTAGCAATGGGCTCACCATTATCACCAGCAATGGCTAATATATACATAGAATACTTTGAGGGAATGGCATTAGAATCAACATCACTAAATGGCTAAGATATGTAGATGACACCTTCATACACTGACCACACTAGGAAGGAGGTCCAGCTACTAATGGATCATGTGAACTCAATATGATCAATATAGTTCACAATGGATAGAGAAAACAAACCAACATTCCTGGATATACTAATCTCAGAGCATGGGTTTAAGACATCTGTATAGCACAAGTAAACATTCACCAGACAATACCTCAACTTGAACTCCCACCACCCATACAGTATAAAGAAAGGGATCATTTGCTGCTTACATCATCAAGCAACACTCGTAAGTGGCAACTGAGAGACATACGAACAAGAAATGGTCAGTATAAACAGTACCTTACAACATAACTACCCTGGGTACATGATAGCAGCTCTGACAAATTGGGATAAAAGGGTGCAAGAGGATAACAACTCAGAAAACAGTCTTGGTTTGCTTACCTTATGTGAAGGGATTATTGGGAAAATACAAAAGATCTGTGGTCTACATCAGGATGACCTTCAAAAGGGGTTCAACACTTCGCAGATACCTCTTCCAAGTAAGACTCCCCATAGAGAAGAACATGATTAAGGACTGTGTATACAAAATTCCATGCAGCTGTGGTAAAAAAATATAAAGGAGAAACAGGCTGCTTCCTTAAGATAAGACTGCTAGAACACTGTAAAGCCAAAATATGAGGGGAAATAGAAAAATCAAATCTGGTTGACCAGATATCTAGAGAAAAGGGAGATCACCCCCTCCCCCAATCTCACACCTGTAGGATGAGGTTGAAATAAAAGAGAACATCACTGGAAAATACAAAAACTTAAGGAATCAGTGCATATGCTAAGCCACAAAAATCTCCCAAAAGCTATTTTTACCTAAGTCAATATAATGAACCCAACTGGAATTTGAAATCAGCTCTCAGATTTCCAATTTTGAGCTGTTATCCATTACATCACCCACAAATGCAAACTTACAGCACCTGGTATACCCAAGTAGTCACCCATCTAGGTACTGATCAGGCACAACATTTCAATGTGATTGAGCCATAAGATACAAAACTATCAGAGAAAGTGTAATGTGTCTCTTGGTTCATAGATACCAAATCAGACATTCAGTCCCAGAGGAATTACAGCACAAAGTATAAAAACCACACACAAAATTGTGGTAGTATCTAACAGGAAGTGTTGCCTGCAACCAATGGAGCCCTTGATGAAGGGTTCTGATGTGTTTAAATAAAACTTCATTTGTTTTCCAAGAAACCCTGTAGAGTTATCTTCATGAACTTTTAAAATTAAACAAATAATTTGTGGAAAATTTGTTTTCCTGCTACTCTAACATAATAACCCTGCCTGTTACAGTTCTGTCCTGTCTCCCCGGTGGATCTTCCTCCGGCGAACTGAAGGAACCACCACTATTCGCCACGTTGTGAATTCTTGATCCGAACAGCAGTGTATCGATCTCCCCAGAATGATCCAGTGGGAAGGGGAGGAAATGGCTAGGTATCTTGCTGAAAGGAAATCACTATTTATGCAGCAAAAGTTTCTTGTCGTAGCCACAAACACATGAAAAAGAAAAAAAAAAAAAGCAACTCCTGTTCCTGTACAAAGGGCCCTATTTAGGCCACTGTTTTTTATGTCTCTACCGAAGAATTTACACTACAAAATGTCGTAACGAGATTCACTTGTTTGGGTCAGAAAGTCACAGAGAGAGAGTAGGAAAATTTCTGCCTAAACAATTTCGGCTGATCTAAGGAAAGCAATTCGTGGATCTTCGTCTGCACCCTACGATATAGCAGTCTGGTTTCTTGCAGCCTTGTTGACGAAGTTATCTGCATTCGTATGGGTTCTATTTTGATCTCTTGGTTCGGATCGGTCTTCTTGACACAGGGCAACCAACAGAACAGACCAGCAAATTCCAACAAGCCGCCTCTTTCGTGTTCTGATCTCCAAACTCATCTGATTAACTCAAGCGTGCGGGCAGCTTATATAGAGAGAGGTGGAGCTAAACCATCTTTAGGCACCGCCCCCAAATTTTAATATGCAAATTGCCTGGACCACCATGTGTTTCCGCCTAATCTCCACGGGCAACCAGTTTTCAAGAGGTACTAAAATTGGATTTGGATCTCCTGCAGACAACATATACTTAAATTTTGCCAAAACCACTTATCCCGTCTGGTTGAATTCTGCTATTCAGACCACCCAAAAATCTAATTTGCCATTTATCACAAATTTTACTTTAACGAATCCATCTCTTAATCACTTTGGAATTATTACATGTAATTAACTAATAACTCAACCCCAGAAACAATTATTAAGAGAAAAAAAAAAAAACTTATTTCTGGAATTACTCCGGAATCCCTTCTACCCAAGTAATTAGCACCTTCATCCTAATTCTTTAGCACTGCTGATAACTAAATCCACCTTGAGGTATGGGTGGGTGTTGGGTCTCTCTCTATGTCACACTAGTTACAATCCTCAAAAATTTAAATGCAATGTCAATTGCTATCTTTTTTCTTGAATCCGGTTTCATTATTCTTTTCTTCATTGAAGTCCTCATTCTCTTTCACTTCCTGTGATCCCCTGAATCCTAATAGCATTATTCATTACTGTTTTGCTTCGGGTGAAAAAAAAAAAAAAAAAAAAAAAAAAAAAACCTGTATTTTTAGGCAAGAAAGATAGACTAAAGTTATCAAAATCCAGAGATAAGAATACTACGAATTTATATGAATAAAACTTGAAGTCTTTCAACTTTGCATTAACAAAGACTGAATACACAATTTACATTGATGGTACAATCTCATAGAAACTGTGAGAAGTACTTTGATGCTCTGTGAATAAAAATTATATCAAAAAGAAATACCAGATTATTGCAAAGGTTTGTGCCTGTTTTTCTTTGTTAATATAAAATGACTACAATTTGACACTGGCTTTTATTTTCATACTGATTTCTGCTGTGTTCAAGATTGAAACCTTGCATCATTCAGTTAAGAGTCAGATTTTATTATATGTTGACATCTTGTCCACAAATGAATGCCTTAACCTTTAACACACTGCATTATTCACTCCTTTCCACTGCATTGTTTTTCAAGGCTTCGCTACTGCACTATTTAATTTCAGTCATGGTCATTTTCTGTTATAGGATAGGACAACTGCAAAATTCAAATGTGCTGTCATTCATTCATTTATCTGTCACTTGCAGTGGCAGGATAATGTTTTTGCATTGCAAATAAAATCACCTCCAGAATAAGATGGAGTTATGAAAAGTTGTATTTTTGCCTTATTATGCTTTATAAATTTTTGAAGTGTTAGCATCAGAACTGTGACAAAAAAACATTCAGAAGGTTTATTTGTATTGTGGCCCAGCTCTTAGGACAGTCAAAAAGTGACTTGGCAGATTTTGTGAGGGTGATTATAACAAACATTTAACTACACTTTGGGTGACACCCCCTGTTTGCCATCATAGTCAATATCTCAATTGCCTTTTGCCATTTGAAGCAACTTGATTTCAAGAAAAATACCTGATTTTGGAAAATTGAAAAGGTTTCATTTTGTAACCATGACAATGCAAGACTGCATGCTGCAAAACAGACCTTTCAGAATCTTAAAGAGCTGAAATGAAACCCCTTATATTCTTCAAACTTGGCGCCTTTGGATTTTCATTTGTTCTGGTATTTATTTGCAGAACAATTTAAATAACAAAATATTTGACTATACAGTTTTGGGGGGTGGGGGAACCCCACAAAACTACTTCACAACCTTCTTCTAACATAAGTAAGTTTCTACAAAAATGGCATCAACAAACTTGCAGAATAGTGGGAGACAGCTGTTAAAAAAAAAAATGAAAACTATGTACTTGACTAATAAATGTTTTTGTGTGTATGTAAAATTTTGTTTTTAATTTTCTAAGTCAGACACAAATTTTTGCAATGATCTAATAAGAAAAGCAATGAAGATATAGTTTTAAACAGTTTTATTCATAGCTGCTTTCATCATGAAGTGTAGATTTTAATACTCTTCACCCTCCTGTTCATCTTCAGCGTCAAAGGTATCCACACCGACTTCCTCATAATCCTTCTCTAGAGCAGCCAAATCTTCACGGGCCTCGGAGAACTCTCCTTCTTCCATACCTTCTCCCACATACCAGTGGACAAAAGCACGTTTGGCATACATCAGATCAAACTTATGATCCAGACGAGCCCAGGCCTCAGCAATGGCTGTGGTGTTGCTCAACATGCATACAGCACGTTGCACCTTGGCCAGGTCACCACCAGGTACAACAGTTGGAGGTTGATAGTTGATGCCAACCTTGAAACCAGTTGGACACCAGTCGACAAATTGGATTGTGCGCTTGGTCTTGATAGTTGCAATTGCAGCATTGACATCCTTGGGTACCACATCACCACGGTACAGCATACAACAGGCCATATACTTCCCATGGCGGGGGTCACATTTCACCATCTGGTTGGATGGCTCAAAACAAGCATTGGTGACCTCAGCAACATTAAGTTGCTCATGGTATGCTTTCTCAGCAGAAATAATAGGAGCGTAAGTAGCCAATGGGAAGTGAATACGTGGGTAGGGTACCAAGTTGGTTTGAAATTCAGTCAGATCCACATTAAGAGCACCATCAAATCTCAGAGAAGCAGTGATGGAGCTAACAACCTGAGCAATGAGACGATTTAGGTTAATGTATGTGGGACGTTCAATATCGAGGTTTCTTCTGCAAATGTCATAGATGGCTTCATTGTCGACCATAAAAGCACAGTCAGAATGCTCAAGTGTGGTGTGGGTGGTTAGAATGGAATTGTAAGGTTCAACAACAGCTGTTGCAACCTGAGGTGCTGGGTAAATTGAGAATTCTAGTTTGGATTTCTTTCCATAATCAACACTAAGACGTTCCATCAAAAGAGAGGTGAATCCGGACCCAGTTCCACCTCCGAAACTGTGGAAAATGAGGAAGCCTTGAAGGCCAGTGCATTGGTCGGCAAGTTTACGGATGCGGTCAAGTACCAAATCAACAATTTCTTTTCCAATGGTATAATGACCTCTAGCGTAGTTGTTGGCGGCATCTTCCTTTCCAGTGATGAGCTGTTCAGGATGGAATAGTTGCCTGTAAGGTCCAGTACGAACTTCATCTAAAAGAAAAACAAATTTTTTTTTAACTAGCCCTCCAAAAGGCATCTGTTAATTAAACATTAAAATGAAGTAATTCAAGTATTTGACAATCTTAATTCTCACACTAAGAAAGGTTAAAATCTTTTAGTTCCCATTCGCACTTCCAATATTTGAAGTTATTCCTCTCCTTCTCCACCCTGAATACTTTATCAACTCACCAACAACAGTAGGTTCCAAATCAACAAAGACAGCCCTGGGGACATGCTTGCCAGCTCCAGTCTCACTGAAAAATGTATTGAAGGAATCATCACTACCACCAGTTGTTTTATCTGATGGCATCTGACCATTTGGTTGAATTCCATGTTCTAGGCAATACAGCTCCCAACAAGCATTACCAATCTGGACTCCAGCTTGGCCAACGTGGATACTGATACACTCACGCTGAAAAATAAAGCACAAAGATTTTTAATTTAAAAAGTAAAAAAAATAAAAATTAAGAAAATGAAGCCAACATGCAAGTTTCTGTTTTTAATGAAATTCTGAACTGGATATTAACCGACCTGCACCAAGGTGATAAAGCCACTATGATACAAAGGGTTACTGAATGTGAAAGAATGAGAAAAACAAACATTAAAGAAAGAACAATAAAAGAACAGGAATTAAGACAGAATATTATGTAATGAGTTGGTCGGTCAACTTGAAACCCCCAAAGCGAGTGGAGGTGGGCAGGCGCGGGAACTGTGATTAGTAGCTGGCTTGTTAGTGTTTTGCATAGTTGAGTTACCAAGCTCTATGTAAAGGGCTGGAATGAGAAGGAGGGCAGTTTTTTTCAGTCTCAAAAGTGGAGACTGCGTCCATCGCTACGACAGCATGAGTGAAAGACGAAATCATTTTTTTTTGTGACACATTCCAACACATCATGATTGACATGGTTTAAATTTTTGAAGATCAAAATTAACTTTAAAGCATGGAGATGGAAGAGAATTCTACAAGTGAGATAGAAAAACTCATTTCTTGTGGAACATTTTGATTTCTAGATAACTTTGATCTTCAAAGATCTAAATTTGATGTCATTTGTTATCTTCTGTCTGAAGCTTTAGTTTCCTTATGCATCAAACAATAGTTAAGATGTATAATGGTAGAGTAGTTATCAATTAGGAGGTACAGTAGAGTAATTGATTGCAACTTAGACAGAAATCAGAGAGCAGTGTTCAAATTCTAGTAGAGTTCTTTACATTCACTTATGTGCTAATACCCATGGGAAAGGTATGAATCCATCTCTTCCCCCCCCACCAGCTATAGGTAAATATGACAAATTGGGTTCTATAGCCTTGGGTGGCAACTGGTCTAGAAGGAAAACTTTGAATTCAAACCAGCCTGGTAAGGGTTTGGCTCCATTAGGCTATCTCAGCCAAGAAACACTACTTCTACTGCAGCACATGTGGTGCCTCTAAGACAGAGTTACAGGACTCGTGATGCAAGTCTTCAAACCTGGTGCGGGGAGGGGGGAGTTTGGTTATGTTTTTCTTTCAATATATACCAATAGGAGTAGATTGGTTCACCTATCCTCTGGTTCACACACCTGTTTGGTCTTTTGAACAGGAGTAGAGGTTTATCCCTCGTTTCCTGTTTAGGATTGGCTTTCTGGTTCCTTCTAAAATCTGCTTCAGCCCTGTGCTCCTAACATCTGCACCTGAAACATTATTCACCGATTATTTATCTTATTTTTTTGTTTCTCCTCCACCAACAGGAGTAGATAGGTTAGGCTATCATCCAGTTCACACTCCTCTACACAGTAACCCTCTATTCGAATGGTTGTTGGGTCCTGTATTCGGTAAACATTAGCAAAAAAATTTCCTGTAATTTGTGTACAGCTCATTTTATTAGATTGATAATTTTGGCAATTTTTTTTAATGGACTACATTTGCCAGTTACATAAATAGCTGTTACTAAATTTCATGCACCTGTAAAAATTCGAAAGAACCTAGGCCAGGTGCCTTGATAGGGAAAGGACTGGATTGTAAAATTCGATACAGCCAAAACAAAATTAAGAGTAATGTTCAACCACCACTGAACTAACTCTGAACTTTCATCTATCATGATGGATGATCTTCAAAGGGGTTCATTTTCTTTAATGTCTATTGGGACTCAAGCTCTCCTCAGACCTCAAGTGAAACTCAGGTATCCAATCTATTGCCAAAAATGCTGGGAAAAAGGTCAGTTCATTGTACCACACTAGTAAGTATCAGATTCCCCTTGCTATACTCTAACTTTACAAGAGCCTGATCAGACTGAAAATGGAGTATTGCTGCCATATTTGGGATGTAGCTGCCCAGATCTCCACAGACTTGTCGTTGATGAATTATCTTCCACCCTACAAGCCTTTCCCCACAGACAAGACATTATGAGTGTCTTGCTGCTCTATTGCTACTTCCATAGTATGTGTTATGATGAGCTACATTCCTTACTCCCACCACCCCTAACTTTTACAACTAGGACTCACCATGCCATGTACACAATCATCCCTATTTCCTTTGTATTCCTATAGGGAGAAGCAAATTTCACATGGACAGCTTACCATTACATAAGAACATTAGTATACAAGAACATTACTGTAACAAATTACAATTAATTCTAGTAGGGATCTGAATAAAATTTTTTTCGTACTCATTTTACAAGTTAGCCCTTATGCCAAAAAGAGTATTAAAATAACCAGCTATTCTGGAGTCTTCCATTGTTCTTTACATAAGAGGGTCCAGCAGCTCAGTTCTTAGAACCTAACAGCCAGACTATCCACACATATGATTTGCTTATAGCGATGAAGGCTTATTTATACCTTTTCCTAAAAGGCATTTGTACACAAGCGAATGTAACAAACTGTTCTAATTTTTTTTTTTTTTTTTATTTCAAGCTACTGTCTATATCTTGAGATATATAGCAATGGCAGTATATGTCTAGAAAACTGAAAGTCAAAATTGCTACAATTGAAAGAAAAGAGGAAAAAGAGAAGAAATGGTTAATGAGTATAAAAGAAAATGAAAAGGACAAATAAGCACAACATTCTAAGAAACAAACCCAAACAACTTGCAATGGAAAGTGCATATAAAAAGAAAAATCAAAAAATATAAGCAATCAATTAGTGATATCTCCTGATGAGTGGATGGAGTGATTCCTAGATGGTCTGTTTGTGAAACTCTGGAGTTGGGATGCTGAAGGTAACATCAATCAGCTAAGTGACAAACCTTTTACTTTATATATATATATATATATTATATATATAAAATATAGTTCTAAGGTGTGCTATATTTATGGGATAAAGTGCTCAATATCAGATTGAGAGAGAGAATATAAAACTGAACATTGAAGTCAACACTCTCAGAAGCAGCAGGCTGTTTCATGCTAGATGCAATCGTCAGGCTGCCTGATGATTGTGTCTAGCATGAAACAGCCTGTCACCTCTGAGTGTTGACTTCAATGTTCACTTTTATATATATTTCAGCTATATATTTTTGTAAAAGAAATTACAAATGCCCCCAAGAAAATTAAATTTTGGTATTAAATGACCCATAAGGAGTGAATATACTGCTAAACAAAACAAAATAATTTTGAGTAATAGAAGTTTAATTTTTTTGTTTGATTTTCATGGTCATGTATGTTGGCTTATGCTTCATTAATTTTTATAAAAAAGCTTTTCAAATATTTGTGGTTTGGAGTGCGTAATATGAAAAAAATTTAGAAAAATGGTTTCTGATCACTGTATCTATTGCTACATTGTACAAGTGTCAAGGCTGGCATAATAGTAGTGTAAATGAGAAAGTTTTAGTGTATTTGTTTACAAACTCCTTGCAATGATATCATGTGATAATTTAACAAAGGTGAGCTTTGTTTGGCAGAAAGCCCAAGCCAGGACATCACGTTATACAACTTTAAAAATAATAATTAATAAAAATGTAGCTTGCTTATTCAAAAATATCTATAATTAATAGCTCTTTTGCTATTAATTCAATTTTATGTAGCACAATTGTTTACAAACAACAATAATTAGGTTACTAAAAAGTCCGATCATAAAATTAAGGTGAAAATATTGAGTTTAAAAATTTACAAAAATACAGGTCAGGAAAAATGCCAGAGGATTTCCTATGAATTTTTATTTTTAAAAAAAAAAAAAAAAGGCAAATGATACTTTTTACTTTAATAAACTGCTTTTATTTATTTTTAATTATTTCCTTACCAGTATAATAACAAAATATTTAATTGCACCAAATGTGGACTTTTTAATTCTTGTAAATTTCAGAGTTATTGAATTTTCATCTAATATTTCTTTTCTGCTAGAAAAGAGTATAATGAAGATGTTGATATTCCACATCACTTCAAATAAAAGGTTAGGAAGGAAAATTCCATTAATACTGGAAAGAGCAAAAGCTTCTGGACTTGAGAAAGCTATTTTCCTTGAAAAAAAGATAAGAGAAAAGAAAATGAAAAAAAAAAAAAAAAAAAAAAGGGTTTTAATAGAATGATTTTAGAAATTTCAACCAAGAACAGTACTGGCTGCTTGGTCAATGAATGTCAAATGTTTCCTTAAAGGGAAATGGCTAATTACCATTTCCATTCAATGAAAAGCAGTAATTCAGAATTATTTCTTTTTTGAACATGCATAAAACTTAAAAAGGTTTACTCGGAAATGGCATTTTCTGGTTAGTCAAACATCTATTTAATAAACATATAAAAAAAAAAAAAAAAAAAAAAAAAAAAAAAAAAAAGAAAATTGAGTTTTATTATTTTTTGTAAGTTTCAGGATGAAATTTCTGAATGTTCACATTTGATATTCATTTTTTTTTATTTTTCTGAAATATCTTCAGCAATTTTTCTTTAGATAACTGAAAAAGATTTTAATACCGCCCCAAATTAAAAAAGTACACACTTGAATTTGAATGGGGTGGTGGGAGTGAAACAGCCCCCTACCCCATATTTCTACAAAATTTTTTTAATAAAATAACTTATTCAGTATACATTCATTCATTGGAGAATTAGTACTGAAAATTTACTTTGAATCAGTTTAATTCTCTGAAAAAAAAAAAAAAAAAAACAACACACACTGGTGGTAGCAAACATTTTTAATTTTGAAAAGAATCCCTTTTTTGATGGTACCTAGATTTTGACAAATGTCGTGGCTTCATTTCCTTGAAAATATTTTTTCATGAACCCATCAGTGAATAGAGTTAGGGGAACAAAAATTTGCAGATTAAAATTAGTCTCCAACGTTTTCACATGGTGACAGACTGGTTTGGTAAGTAATTCACAAGTGACTGATGCTTCTTCTTCTTCACTTGGCAGCACTTTGTAATTGTAGAAGTCAAACCAGTAGAGTAGTGTTAAAAGTAAACATGAGAAGGTCTTATTGTCGTAATGCCAGAAAACAGTAAAGAAATTTTAGCTGAGTGGAACTACTTTAAGAAATTGATAGGTTTTGAGTGGTGGAAGCAAGGAGAGTGAAGTGAGTGAGTGAATGAGTATGTGTGTCCATGAAAACGTATTTCAATCAGTGCCACCAAGCTTGTCTGCCATTTTTATGGTCAGCTTGCGCGCATCACATTAAGAAGGTGGGGAGAAGGGAACGTCAACAAAAAACTCAAAAATAAGATAAGCTATTTTAGTCAAAGTTATTGTATCGTTTTTTTTTTGGGGGGGTTCATGTTATGCATACAATAAAATAAAGTAAAATAAAAATAAAAAAAATTTTTTCTAGCTCTGAATAATCGTTCTTTTATTATCGGGTTTCTTTCACACTCAGTAACCACTTGCGTTAAGTGTTTTTTTTACCTTCCTTGTCAATATCTTCTGCTGCTTAAGAGGAAAAATATTTTCTTAAATTTTATATAATCAAATGTATTTTTTTTTTATTCTATTGTTACCATTACTTTTTGATTTCACACAAGTTATGACAATTCTATCTTTTTACCGAATTGTTTGTCTTATTAAAAAAAAAAAAAAAAAACGGAGAAAGGATGTTATCACGTTTTTTGTTGTTTTTTAAAATTTAGTTTTTGTCTTTTGGTTTGTTTAATTTTATTTTTTAGCCTATTTTGAAATTCAATAGAGTGGAATTCAGCCAGGCCTACTGCATAAAAAAAAAAAAAAATGCAAAGAAGCTGACTCATTGTCAAATAACCAGCCAATCTCCAAGCCATGGTGAACATGAACAGATGTTAAGAAGTAGGAGTGGGTTCTATATGTCATCATCGGCGTCTGCAGTTATTGGTGCTATTTCACTTTCAGACTATTTTTAAAACAAAACAAAAAAAAATTAAAAATTACAGGAATAATTATGGCTAGTTGGACAACAAACATTTTTAAATTTTTAATTTAAGATTGGCATTTATTTGAATAGGCCAATGACCGTTTGGTCAAACTTTGGTGTTACGAGGAGGAGTGTCAAGTGGTAATAGAAAGACAGACAGTCTGCCTTAAATGGGCATGACCAAGACCACGGTGGTCTCAGCATGACATTTTTTTTTTTTATATATTCATCCTGGCAAAGTTGAATGATAAATTTCTAACAGGCGACTCGAGAAAATAATTTTTTGTAGGAAGTAAAAAAAAAAAAAATATCAGCATTTGCATATTTAAACAGAACTATTTATGAAGAGTGAGGAATGAAGAGTCATATGACGTGAGAATCTAATTCTTCTGTAGGTGTCACTGAAAGTGATACCAACAACTTTTCTAAGGCGGATTGAATGATATGGACATATTTGTCTTTCAAGAAGGCATGGAAGTATCGAAAGAAGAATGTCAATAATGTTTTAAAATTAAATTAAAACATTGAAATTATTCATTCGAATTTTTAATGATTAAATTAAAAACAAAACTTAAGATTTATTTAATTTATTTATTAGATGCCTGTGAAGAACATAAGAGTAGAAAAAGAAAGCAATCACTGCACAACTGACGTTGGTGGAATTAATGACACTGACAGACATAGAACAAGAGAAAGATCTTCTAAAAATGGGGGGGGATATTGTTAAAGAAAAATAAAATAAATGACAGGCGAGAAAGGCTGATTTAAAAAAAAAATTCTTTAACGTAAATTTTACGATGCCATTATACATTTGTAAGGAAAAAAAAAGAATTGTAACACAAGAAGAAAAAAGTTCTAAGTTAAAAAAATTATGAGACAATTGTTAACAATCGTTTTGTTTCTTTCAGCAATAAATAATAATATTAATTATCACATGATGTGATCGGTTCGGGCGGGTTCCTAAGACCCGACTCTACTTTTGCTTCACTAAATAATTTAGAAGTTTAATTCCAATTTAACATTTTCTACCGTTTCCCAAGAAAGAAAAATGAATAAAATGGCACCAAAATCACAATAGGAAACAATGCTTATCTCGTGAGTATTGATCATGAAATTTTTGTGAGCGAAGAACTAAAGAGAGAGGAGAAAAGGGGGCGATTTGAAGTGTCATATGCTACCATTTGCAAGTGGGAGAAAGAATTCTAGCTAGACCATTATTTTGGCATAACAATGAACAGATATACATTTTTTAAATAATGTAATTAGCGACAGTCTTCATTGGCAAGTTTTATTTAACAGTGTATGATTATAGAAGTGAATAGTTGTCTCAATAATCTGGAAAGTGTATAAAAAAAAAAAAAAAAAATACTAGGATTGACTTGTCACTTGACTCATGGTCAAGAGCCAAATTCTTTCTTGTTACAAAAATGGCGAAGTTTTAACTGGACATTTTTGTAATTGGAAAAATTCCAATTTATTTAGAGACGTACATAAATTAACGACCGTCAAAAGAAAACAGGAGAAAGTTTAAATTCTAAGAAACAAAACCAAATCAATAGTTCTTTCAGACAAAAAAAAAAAAAAAAAAAAGAAAGTTAATTTTGATTCAGCACCCAACATTGGGACTGAGTGCTGAAGAATTCTTGGACCGCTCCCCCGCACCTCTCTAAATATCATTTTTTTTTTTTTTTTTTTTTACTTCCTTGTAATACACGGAAAAAAAAAAAAAAAAAAACTAACGAAAATAAAACAAAAAGTTTTCTTACGTGAAAAACGACAGAGGTAATTTTGATTTTTTTGTTTTTTCCAGACTCACAAAAAAAATAAAAAAAAAAAAAAAAAAAAAAAAAAAATTCAAGGCTGGAATTATTAAAAAAAAAAAAATCAAATTAACGATTTAAGTTCCATAAGGAGAAAAATATAAACAAACGAAAACTAATCCCCCCCAAAAAATAGTAACTTAATAGTTCAATTCAAATCATCAGATCGATTCATTTTGAAAAACCCATAATACTCACCATAATTGATTATTTAAAAATTGAGTTAATCAAAGGAGGGCGACGAAAAGTCAAATGATGAGAGCTCACTTGGAATTAAGGTATCCGATGTGAGGTCTGAGTGCGTTATGAGGTGATTACCCGCGTATTCGTCCTTTTTATAGAACTTCACCCTCTTTAACTTTTACTTTGTTTCTCTCCCCCTCTCTTTATCTAACTACTTCTCTCTTGTCTACATTTGTTTCTGTTTCTCGTTTTACCAATTATTACTCATTCTGTTTACCACACACCTAGTCATCTAAGTTTCTTTATCGTGCCATATTTTTCGGTTATTTTGTTTTATGTCATTAAGCTTAATCATCGTTATATTGAACTCGAAAACTTTTTCAATTCCCACATTTACCCGACCGAAATAACTTTCTTTTATTTATGCATGTTTTCTATTTTATTTTCATTTATTAGTCAAGAACTATTATTTTGCTATATTTAAGCTTAGTCACTTGATTTTTTTAATCATTTTTTTAAAAATCGTTTCTAAATATCTGCCTAAAACAGTTCTTCCTTTCTTTTTTCCTATATTTACTACATCTGGGCTCCTCCTCCATCTCCCAAAATAATTGGTAACTCCCACTCCTTCTACCCTTCTATTCTTCCTCTCTAGACATGACGTCATGGATGCGTCATCACTTAAGCGCCAGTTTCCTTTTTTATTCTCTCTGATTTTAATTCAGTGCGCTTTTTGTGGTGAGTGTTTTTGTCACAAGAGAAGAGCAACAACAAGCATTAATTCACAGAAAAATAGAAATTCCAATCGAGGAGTTTGAATGCACTGAAAAAGTAAAGTTCAAGTTTTCTGTTTAATTTATGCAAAATCTAATAAATTTATTTTAACGTAACAATAATTCAATTTCAATACATTGTAATTGACCGCGGAAACTGTTTTTTTTTAAAAACAGCCATAAACGTTTTGTAATTTTGTATAAGTAAAATAAAATTTTCTGCTTACCATTTGTTCCTTATCTATCTATCTATCTATCTATCTATCTATTTATACTGTTCCTTATCTATCTACCTATCTATCTATCTATCCTGTTCCTTATCTATCTCTGTTCCTTATCTACCTATCTATCTATTTATATTGTTCCTTCTACCTATCTATCTATCTATACTGTTCCTTATCTATCTACCTATCTATCTATCTATCTATCTATTATATTATTCCTTCTACTATCTATCTATCTATCTTTATCTATCTATACTGTTCTTTATCTATCTATCTATCCTATCTATCTATCTATCTATCTATTATCTGTTCCTATCTATCTATATCTATCTATCTTTACTATTCTATCTATCTATCTATCTATCTAGATCTGTTCTTTATCTATCTATCTAGATCTGTTCTTTATCTATTATCTATCTATCTATCTATCTCGATCTGTTCTTTATCTATCTATCTATCTATCTCGATCTGTTCTTTATCTATCTATCTATCTATCTATCTCGATCTGTTCTTTATCTATCTATCTATCTATCTATCTCGATCTGTTCTTTATCTATCTATCTATCTATCTATCTATCTATCTATCTCGATCTATTTCTTTATCTATCTATCTATCTCGATCTGTTCTTTTCTTTATCTATCTATCTATCTCGATCTGTTCTTTATCTATCTATCTATCTATCTATCTATCTCGATCTGTTCTTTATCTATCTATCTATCTATCTATCTATCTATCTATCTATCTATCTCGATCTGTTCTTTATCTATCTATCTATCTATCTATCTATCCCGATCTGTTCTTTATCTATCTATCTATCTATCTATCTCGATCTGTTCTTTATCTATCTATCTATCTATCTATCTCGATCTGTTCTTTATTCTTTATCTATCTATATCTATCTATCTATCTCGATCTGTTCTTTATCTATCTATCTATCTATCTATCTCGATCTGTTCTTTATCTATCTATCTATCTATCTATCTCGATCTGTTCTTTATCTATCTATCTATCTATCTATCTATCTATCTATCTCGATCTGTTCTTTATCTATCTATCTATCTATCTATCTCGATCTGTTCTTTATCTATCTATCTATCTATCTCGATCTGTTCTTTATCTATCTATCTATCTCGATCTGTTCTTTATCTATCTATCTATCTATCTCGATCTGTTCTTTATCTATCTATCTATCTCGATCTGTTCTTTATCTATCTATCTATCCCGATCTGTTCTTTATCTATCTATCTATCTATCTATCTATCTCGATCTGTTCTTTATCTATCTATCTATCTATCTATGTGTGTGTGTGTGTGTGTTTGTTAGGTACCACCAAAATGGATGCGTTTTTTTCCCGAAATGAAAGAAAAAAATCGCTTCCTTGTCTTTTTTTTTTTTTTAAATATTTGCCAAAAATCAGGGATATATCCAATCGAATTCAAACGAAATTTTCAGTACTTATTCAATATTCATTAATGAATGAATTTTGAATATATTATGTTTTTAGAAAAATTTGTGGAAATTGGGGGTGAGTCGTCTGTCATCCACTTTTGATGGCTCGTAAATTTTCTTTACAGTTATATAAAAAAAAAGTCTCTGAAGATGTTATTAAATTTCAGTAAAAAATTATCATGTCCCGAACCTTAGCAAAAATAATTCAATATTATAAAAGTAAAACTAATTTTTTGTTTTTATGACACTTGTGTTTTTTGCTTAATTTAATAAAACACGCTATATTTTCTTTCAGTAGACAGAAAAAAATCTACATTTTTAAAAATATTTCTTTAAAAAATTACATTTTTAATTTTTCAGTGCGAATTCGAAAATCATTGCATTGTTATTTGTAAAAAGAGTTTTTAATATTATTAAATAAAGTAAAGACATATGCAAAGAAAGAATCAAAAACTGTAAAAAGTTAAAAACTAAACAGGTAAAAAAAAATAATCAAAAATAAAACAATGAATTAAACTAAACTCAAAAAAAGTATCATTCACTAGTTTTCTTTTTTATTTATTTTCTATTTCCTTTTTATTTCTTTTTTACTGTAATGAAGTATAGAAATAAAATTACTAATTCTACTAATTTTCATAAAAGTGTATATAAAAATATAGTTTCTTATACTATTGGTTGTATAAAAATAATTTATTTTTAAGCATAAATGCCAATTTCTTGATTAATGTTCTGTTAGTGTTCCATATTTCTTTAACTTTTTTTTTTAAATTCACGCGCTTTTTATGAGTCAGAGATGACAGTAAAAAATAAAAATCTATCGTATTGACCTATGACATTAAATCACAACTCACAGGTTACTGTGCATAAATAAACGTTATTTTCATTGTTTTAAGCAAAAAATAGATATTACTTTTACATAATCCAGCTAATTAATCCTTAAATTTAGTAATTTACTTTGAAACACATCTCTAGGACAAATATTGGATTTTTAATAGATTTTTATAAATTTGTTTACCTTCCTTATTCATCTACAATGGCGGTTCAAGTGAATTTTCTTTTATGAATTAACTTTAGATGATTATCTTTCAAAATCAAACCAAAATTTAACCTCAAAGAAGACATTTGAATTATTTGAAATGTGTTTTTTCAGGAAATCAATGGCGGCATCAAGATCTTTGCAACGATACTAAATAAATACCAATTAATTGGGATTAAATAGGTCTCTAAAATGAGACGGTAGACAATCTGTCCTTGTGCTGTTAATACACACACACACACACACACAAGTGTACCAGAAAATTGTTACTGAAATCATTTTATGACTTATCATTGATAAAAAAAATAAATAATTTTTGAAAAATAACACTTTGAGAAGCGCATATATATATATGTGTGTGTGTATGTATGTATGTATGTATGTATGTATGAAGAAATATACTCTTACGGTGTGATATATTTATGGGTTAAAAGTGCTCAATGTCAGAGATAGAGCGTGTGTAAATATAAAAGTGAACATAGAAGTCAACACTTAGAGGCGACAGTGTTTCATGCTAGATGCAAACGTCAGGTGGCCTGACGATTGCATCTAGCATGAAACACACTGTCGCCTCTAAGTGTTGACTTCTATGTTCACTTATATATATATGTGTGTGTGTGTGTGTGTAAAGTGAACATTGAAGTCAACTCTTAGAGGCGACTTTTATATTTACACACGTTCTATCTCTGACATTGAGCACTTTATCCCATAAATACAGCACACCGTAAGAGTATATTTCTTCATACATACATACATACATACATACACACACACATATATATATATAGATAGATAGATAGATAGAGAGATTATAATAAAAACATTTTAAATCGCTACAAAAAAGCTTTCATGTTTCAACACTATGCATTTACACTTCCCCAGGCGATGGTTAGTAACTGGTGATAAAATGTTTTCTTTTTTTTTAGGGAAATTTAAAAACAAATCGTTACCTCTTTTCCGAAAGTTAAAGGTCAGAATTAAAAATATACTTGTGGATATGTCTCAATTAACCAATTAAATGTCAGATCTACGCTAAATAGAAAAATAAGTTCAGAGGGTGGAGGTGGATACAGGGTGCGATGGATAAATTATCGTCTAAGTAACGCAAAAATGAAAATAACACTGACATTTCATTTTAGATACATTTACCAAAATTACACAAAAATATCTTGAAATACTAAAGAAAGAGTAAATTTATTCAATAAAATGTAGTGGAAATAATGTTAATTGAAAACGATTAACACGACTGCTACAAAATGGAGAAGTTTTTATTTTTATTTTTACAACATAAGAAATGTGGAAATATCTGAGAAAAAAAATTAATCGTTTGTGTTTTGTTTTTCTTTAAAGTTTCTGAGAGTCACAGAGAAATATTAGCACCCGTGTGGCGTCAAAAGCATTATCTCCAAGGCGAGAATTGTAATTTGATACTGTTCATTCAGCGGTCAAAAGACCGGGCTTGCGGTGAGAGACAGTTTTATTTCATCTTGCCGGACAAGTAAACTGTTCTGAAGCGTTTTGAAAATATTCTCATTATTTAAATGTTCTGGTGGGATCACGCACACGGCCGTTAGCTCCACAGATTTCTTATGGAGCCACCGCATAGTTTTTGTACACCCGACTAGTCAAAAAATGTGGTCGAGTGTTTTATTTTTTTTTTTTAGAAAACGTGCATATATTTTATTATATATATATATATATATATATATATATATATATATATATATATAAAGACATATGTTTATACATTCTTTTTTATAGATAAAAATATTTAAGAAAATGCTCTGTTTATAATAAGCAGTATTAAACAACATTTACCGGCTTGAATGTCCGAGAAATTTTCATAGAATTACGCCAAAGTTGATTCGATTTTTCTAGAACTTTCCTTGATGGGAAATTGCATCATTTCCTTTCCAGATCAATATAGAATATATCGAAAGAGAAGAGTTTGTGATTAGTCTGTTAATATTTCTTTTATATATTTGTCTGTATGTGTGCATTGTGATACATAATTTTGGAGCTTGGTAGGCCGGTGAATATGTCTACCAGATTTAGTTTCTCTGATTGGATGATCTTTTTCGCTTGCTGACGAGACGTTCGCGTCTTTATCTTCGTGTACGACGGGTTTGTCGGAGTTAGCTCTTCCTTAATTCCCTAATCGTTCACTAGGGGTCGCTCACCCTACACTATAAATACTGGGCGATTTCTTGCCTCGTTCTCTTTCTACTTTGCATTTCAGCGGACACATTTAAAAACGTGATCTCTAGCAGAGATCCGCGTTTTCGCCCACTTGTGGGAAAACGCCATGAAACACACATACGTACGAACTTTCACCAATATGAATATTCTTTACGTTCACATACAAACACAAATGTTGATGTCTTTGTCACTTGTAAATTTTTTGTTTAATACATATATTTGTTTTATATATATATATATATACATCGGTCTTGTTTGTTTTCTTTACATCTTTGGTTGGACTCAACTTGAGTCCGCCATGTTCTTGTGGTTGGGCCTTCTTAGCGCAGGAAATAAACGCACGTGTTCCTAATTTAACAACACTTAAACTCACGGTCCTCTACACGTTCATTTTCCGTAGGCTGATCAGATGATTTCTCAGTGTAGGCTGGCTTTAGTCTGTCAATGGAGACAGAGTCCCTTTTATTGTTTTCTTCGATTATGAAAAAATTATCTAATCGTTCTAATACTTTGTAAGGTCCGTCGTAATTGGGTAGAAGCGATTTCTTAATCGTGTCCCGACGCACAAAAACAAACTCAGTAACATTTATGATAGGAGGTAGATATGCCACGTTGGAATGTACACGTGTCGGTGTAAAAGAAAGTTTTGCCATGTATTGTATTAAGTGAGTCACATAATTTGAAGCTGAATTGGCATTTTGGTTATGTTGTGTGAAAAATTCACCAGGTAGCCGTAAGGTTGTACCATATACCATCTCTGCTGCAGTGCTTTTGATGTCTTCTTTAATCGTGGCCAGGAGTCCAAGAAGAACTATCGGCAAATATTCACTCCATTGGGTTGGATCAGGTTGAGCAAGTGCAGTTTTTAATCGACGGTGGAATCTTTCCACCAAGCCATTAGCACAAGGATGGTATGCCGTAGTTTTTATGTGGGTAGTTCCAAGGTTTGTATTAGCTCTTGAAAGAGAGCTGATTAAAATTGTTGGCCTCTGTCTGTTGTGATCATATTAGGAATACCAAAGTTCGAGACAGCCTTCGATGAAAATTTTTGCAGAAATATCCTTGATGGTATGAGCCGAAGGCCAGCGAGTGAATCTGTCGATCATGGTCAAGTTATATGTGCTTATTGGATGTAGGTAACGGTCCTACAATATCAATGTGCACATGTGAGAAACGACCATTGGGAGTTGAAAATACACCATGATTGCTTTTTCTATGCCTGTGGACTTTAGTTTTTTGACAGGGAATACAATGTTGAGTCCAAGTGGGAATATCGGTGTTCATTGAAGACCAGAGAATCTGTCAGAAATTAGTTTTTGTGAAGCTCGTTTGCCAGGAAGCGAGATGTTGTGAAAATGATTGAAGATTCTTTTTCTGCATGAAGGAGGCACTTAAGGACAAGGATAATTTTTGGAATTGTCACAGAATATTTTCTTGTCACTAAATGGAATAGAATATTCTGTTAAAGTTACTGAAGTATGCATAGAGATTTGTTTATTGAAGCGTCCTTCATTTGTTCCTGTGCAATATAATCATAATTCAGGAGTTCGTCGATGTGGACATTTGATACACGCGAAGGAGCATCGGCGACTATGTTGCCGTTTCCGGAAATGTGACGAATGTTGTCAAGATTCAGCATGTTTTGGAATTCCGCTTTGTCAATTTTTAGTTTTGTTGTAGAGTAGTTTTCACAGTGGAGTCTTGTATTTCAATAAGTCGTCCTAAATTAGGTTCGACGTACAAAACGTTAGGAACTTGAAATAAGAGTTAATGACGCAGCAATCTAGTTGTGATGGTTGGTACTTCAATGTCCGACATTGACTGACTCGTTCAACACCACTGAACCCAACTGGCCACTGCTACTACTACTTATTATCTATGGGAGAGTCTATTACAATAGAATAGGTATTATGGTATAACAAGTTTGTCTGGAATTAGACGACGCGGTTTTGAGTGCACTGGTCGGCCGCGTGTGGTGATGCGATGTGTAACGTGGTTTGATTTTACCATCATAACAAATTGGTTTAATCAGATTTGGAATTTTTTTTAATATCCAAGTACGTTTAATGACATGTAGGCAAAGCAGAATGAATTCCTATTGTGTTGCTGCTTCTGATGTTTCCCAACAACAGATATGTTTGTGTTGTCCTCAACCAAACGGTGGTTCTTTAAGTCCATCGAAAGATTGAAGTGTAAAAGAAAATCAGCACCGATGATGGGTGATTTCACATCTGCAATCACAAATATCCAAGTATTGTTTTATTCCAAAATTTACGCTTACTGTGGAGGTGCCAATAGTTTGAATAGTAGTACCATAGTAATGTTTTCTTATCCAAGAAGGATCTTTGCGCTGATGTCGGAGGAATAAAAATTATTTCTGCTCCTGAGTCAATAAAAAATTTGTCTCTATTTACATTATTCAGACTATTGTCCTCATCTTTGTCACCATATTTATTACAATGTTTCGGCCGTTGTACGCTCTGGCCTTCTTCGGGTGGTTGGAATGTCGAACTGAACCCTCTATTTCGCTCACTGGGGTACACTGTTCTAGTTTCACGTGCCATATTTTTAATGGATGTCAGTTATCTCATGTTAATTCCCCTCTGCAAGTTCTCCACTGCCTTAACTGGGTACTGAACTCACACTCTTTGGGTCATGTCACAGGATCTAACCAACGCCTTTATCCACTGTGCCATGTGTCCTTTATCCACTGTGCAACCTGTCCTGGTAGGCCATATGTGTATGAATTTCTGGGTATTATAAACCTAATGTCTTATCAAATATTTTTTTTACCAGTGCTCATATTGCAATTTTTGTTGTTATTATTGCTTTTCTCTGGCACTCCTTATTACTGGTTCCCATATTGTATTCATTTCTATGTTTGGTCGGTTCAACAGGTCGATACGTGATAAATATGGCGACAAAGATGAAGACAATAGTCCGAATAATGTAAATAGTGTACATAATACCTCATCTCAGAACTATAAACAAATACCAAAAATTTGTCTATTAGATTTTAGGTCTTGAATGTAAAGTAGGCGACCTGATTTGATGTTACTAGCTGGAGTACTCGCCATTAATTGCTGGTTATTAATTTAATATCATTAATGTATTGCTTTTAATGTTGCCACAATATTTAGAAAGTAATGTGACATTTTTGGAGAGAGAATTAAAACCTGTTCACAAGTTACAAACATTAAACCAAGAACATAATCATCTTTATTAGTGATCTTATTGAGTCACTACATCACACCTATTCAGGGTTGCTCACAGAGCCTTATCTAGGGTGTTAGGGTTTCAAGGTCATTAAGTGTGCATGGATCTTCAATATTGGGGCAAGCTAGAAGATGCTCCATAGTTTGTGATTGTCTGCAGATTGTCAGTTGGGATCATCATTGGTGACATATCCCCATTTCTGGAGGTTGGCTCTACAGCAACCAACAGATGCTCAGAGGTGATTTAGGAAGGACTAGAAGGGAGAGACATTCCTGGATCCAATGGGGAAGGATTCTATAGGGCTGAGAGATAGCCTGTGTTTTACGTTGTTAAAGTGAATGCACCATAGGGACAGACACTGACTAGAAGCTCTGTTGTTCAGTCGTTTGGATGAGTGTAAATAGCTGTGTCTTGACAAGCTTCTTTATCATTGGTTTTCAGCCGAGGTGTCGGTGATAAGGATCAATTCTTGCTTCAACTTTTCAAGGTTATGCAATGGGGAACAATGCCACTAAACAAGTAGAGGTCATCTACTTTAGTTGGCTTGAGACACCTAGTGATCAATCTCAAGAGGTGTTTAAAGCAGGGTTGATTTTCTTTTGTATGTGATGATCTGTCCACACTGGTTATTTATAAGTGATGACAAAACTTACTATGAAATTAATTCTGAACTATAAGTTAAAGCAACATCAAGAAAATATGGATTTCTGCAGTGTGTGAGATCAGTTCATATCATCAGAAATTATATATTTACTTCTGATTTCTTGTTTGCATTAGCATTTATGAAGTATATTTCATCAGAATATTGAAATAAGATACACCAAAAATGGCCCGTCTGCGTAATCAAGGGAGGTAACTTCTTTTCTTGTATTAAGTAGTTATCTCCCAATGAATGCGTTTAAAGCTAGAATACATTGTATATTTTGTTCGTTAGTTTTTTTACCATGCTAGGCTAAACCTTAGGTTATTTAATGTCCAATTTTGTATGGGTCACCCGGTGAGGAGTGAGCTCACTACTCTATTAATAGTCAACAAGACTAGACTCGCTAAACATTACTCCATCCATACTGAAGCGTCCTCGTACTGTTTCCTTATAGCAAATTAGCACTAATTTAGCATTTTTTTTTATTCTATTTTCTTTTTTGGATTTTCTAGTTAGGGAACAAAGAAATAATGAAATAAACCCTATTATTCACTATCCTATCAACTAAAATACTTACCAAGCACAAAAAAAAACCTGATCCAATAATTAAGTTGCAAATTGCATTGAAAATTACTTCATTCTTTAAGTCAAAGGATTTTAACAATATCACTTGAACAAAAATCTCTCTATGATGTACTATTTTTGTTGTTTTATTACAGAAATCAGCGCATTGCTGTATAAAAAAATTAGTTGCAAATAAATAAATTAATTAACGGAAAAAAGAAAAATTTAATGAGTATTTAAAATAATTTGAGTTGGCTCCCTTGAGAAAACGCTTCGTTTTTAACATAAATTATGAGAACGAGCATGGTTATAGGCCCCCATTATTATTTTAAGTTGCAAACGGGGCTGAAAATTACTTTATTCTTCAATCTAAAACATTTTATAATTTTTACTGTATTACAAACACACCCTCAAAGAGAATTTGGATCATTATAATGCAAATGGCATATCATATATACTATATAGAAATTCATTTGAAGTTATAATATAAATATTTACTGTAAAATATCGATATCTCTGAAAAGCACATTAAAGCATGAAACTGAAAGTCACCATGCATGCAGTGTTGATTCCTATGTACACAATATATATATATATATATATATATAAATGCTCTATCTCTAATACTGAGCACTATTCTAACAATATACCAAGCCTTCATTCTTCTTTATGTGCCCTAAAGACCTCAACAGTCTCTTTCTGATGTTAAGTATAAATTTCCTTTTCGTTTACTGTATCGTTAAAACTTTGTTGTTGCTTACATATTCTGTTCATGAAATCCTCAGCATCCTTCTGTAGAACCACATTTCTGTTGCTTTAAGTCTCTTCTTCATCTTTGAGAAGATTGTCTAGCATTTGCTGCCATACAAGAATGACAGATATCACGTAAGAGGTTAGTACTCTTTTCCTTAGTACTTTTCCAACACATCTTTGGCTATCCCAATACGCCTTCAGATTTCAGTGCCACACTTTCAGTCCTCTGTTAAAATACTTAGAAAATGTGTGTGTGTGTGTGTGTGTGTGTGTGTGTGTGTGTGTGTGTGTCTCAGTTGGATTGGCTGAAATTAAAGTCACCATCTGGGAGACTGTTTCTTTGGCCGGGTTCAAAATGTCCCACCACTACCAGGGTTGAGAGAGTAAAAGAGAGAAAGTGAGTTTGTCATTTCGTTTTATATCACTTGTAGCCACACCACCTAGCAGGCATTAAGTAAAGTCCCCTGGTGGACAAGGTTGTCTAATCCCATGATATATACATGCAAACCCTTTGTATGAAGCAGTATAAATGTTCTATCTCTGATACTGAGCACTATTCTAACAATATACCAAGTTTTATTATATATATATATATATATATATATATATATATATATATATATATATATATGCATACACACACATATTTGTGTGTGTCTGTGTTAATATATATTTTTTTATGCTAATTTTAAAAGTGTCACATCATACACAAGATATAAAATTAGCATATGTACTGCTGGCCCTGGCTATGCAGTTGATCAAACTATATATCCATTTACTGTAAAAAAAAAAGTACAGCTGTATTTAAAATAAACATTGCATGTTATACGAATATATACAATATATTTGGCTGATTAGCAGCCTTCTTTTTTCATGATAGCTTACAGTAATAAACTCATCACTGAAATCTAGGACTTATCTTAATCTAATTTTGTTCAAAGTGGTGGGGGTGAAAACTGGTTCTTCCCAGTTCTGGGCTAGGGCTAAGACTAAGGGTTATTTTTAGTCATGCCCTCTAAATTTGTTTATTTATGCTGGCTGGGTGGTTGGGGGCAGTAAACATTTAAATAGGTTAGATTTATGGTTGGTTGGTTGATTTTGTTTAGCAGCATATCAACCTCTATCGGTTATTTAATGCTAAAATCTAAATATTTTGAACACGATCATATGCCTTCAACTACTAATAAAATATATTGTTGGTCATTTTGCTATAAAATGTATTGCTGGTATTTTTACAATAAAAGTGTAATTTTATTCTTTTATAGGTTTTTTTTTGTTTGGACGTTTACTATTTGGCCATAGCTGGGACCCTAACAGGTGCTACCACCCCAGGTCAGGGTGGACCTGAAAACAACAGCTCCTGATCAGAGGTCTTGCTGCCAGATGTATAGATTTATGGTCATGATCTCTAGATTGCTTATTTATATCAGGCAGGTCTGTTCAATTAAAAAGTAGGAATGGCCACATTTCTCATTAAAAATTATCTGTGGGCTGCATGAGTATATTTATAAAGTAAATTACTGGGTGAAAAAAATAGCAGAAATGCACTAATACATACCATAGGAAATATATGTTTATCAAAAACAAATATTGGCTGAATAAAGTCATCCTTCCACAAAGTACATTTGTACATCAGTCAGTGAGTTTATTCTGATGGTCACAAAAATATTTACTATTCAGAAAACACCTCACGGGCAACACTGTCATCTCATGCAGCCAACAGGCAATACTTTGTGCAGGCCTGATATAAGGTATATTTAAGGGTGCATGCATTCATCCAAACAAGTTTTATTAAATTCAATCGACAAGTTCTTTCTATTGAATTTTTTTTACTGTACTTTTGAATGAGGTGTTATATATCAGGATCAAAATTGTGGACAAACTGTCCTAAGTTCATGTTTGATTTGTTATTTTTACTCAAGTGACTGTATTGGTCATTATCAAGAACCATGTGCTGTCAGTGTGGCAGGAAATATACCACTGGCTACATCCTGGTATTTTATAGGGAGCTGAAGTTTGAAACAGTTCAAAGTAATGTCATGTGTAACGGTTAAAGACAGCAAGACCATGCGAAAAAGAATGCATCAAATATTATATGTTGTAATTATTTTATGCATATTAAATATTTTATACACGTTCCAAGATATCATCTTCTGTGGTAAAAGGTATCTTATTAAATGTAAGTTGTTAATTTTTGCATAAAAATAGCCTTTAAGATTTTGAGTCTTTCCTTTTGTTGAGTGTTTTAGAAATTTTGGTATTATCTCCTAATATTTGACTTAGGTTGTAAATTGCATTTTGGTTCTATGTCTCAAATTTCAGCTCTTTAAAAATATTAAAAAAAAACTAAAAATGGTCTGATTTGACTCTTGTAAAGATAGAGCATAGCAGAAGGAGTCAGGTACTTACTGGAGTGATAAAAGGTACCAAGTGTGCTGTCTCCTGATATGTATCCGTCTCACACACGTGTACCTCGGCCAGCCAGATAAATACTTTATGACAATCAAAACCCTGAAGCCAAAGTCCTGTTCATCAGCATTTTCCTTGAAAGCCAAAAGGGTGAAGCTAGAAAAAGAAATAAATACAAACTGGAGTCTAGTTTAGTTCAAATAATAAAATAAGTAAAAAGGTGAAAAAGAAGGCAAAGTAGAAATATGAGAAAGGGGGCTGAAAACTGATCACAACAGTAAGACTGTAGGTCTAAATGTGTAAAGAAGATTGCAAGTAGTTTGCTTATAGGAATATATTATACATTTTGCAGTGATAAGTCTACAGAAAGGAAGAAAGTTACATGATGTTACAGCAAGATAGAGTGTGAGAATAGTCAACACATGGTGAAAAGGGTTCTACATGAGGAAGTACATCAGTAAAAATAAATGTATACAAAGGTGGCTACCCTTAAACAAATATTCAAATAATAATACAATATTAAAGGAGACCAATGCAGAAAGAAATGTTTCAAAGATATGTATCAGTGATACTATTGTTGGGCATAGATTTAGAAGGATAAGAAAGTAGGAACCATGTACTTTGACATTGTGGCAGGTCTGGTAATTATTACAGGCTAAAAACAAAAACAAATGTATACAAAGGTGGTTAACCTTAAACAAATATATAAACAATAATAAGATATTAAAAGAGACTAATGCTTAGAGAAAAAGTTTAAGAGGTTATGTACTGACAATGTTATTGTTTAGAGGTAGAAATTAAGAGGGTATGAAAGTAAGAATGGCATGCTCTGACCGGTGGTTTCTTGTGGTGGTTCAATCTAAATTGTACGTAAATTAAAAAAGGGGACAAACAAAAGGAAAATAAAACAATACAGGTGTTGTACTGTAGTAAGAGAACACTGACATTTATAGAACTAATAGTCAATAAAAGGAGCCCACAATTCTTCATTGAGTGAGCTTGTATTCTGTGTAGCCATTGTATTCACAGTGAATAGGCATCAAGTTTTGCTTAAAATTTAGTTGTCCACAGAAAGTATTTCAATGATTTCAGAGATGATTAAAATGTAGAGACACATTTCGCAACAATCCATTTTAAAAATTCCAAGTAATGTCATTTAAAAATATAATTATCTTCATTGTTCTCTGTTGTGAAGGCAACCATAGTTGTCTTCCCCTTGAACTACTCAACTATAAAAGAAATGGTCAAACCACACTAGCAGTAGTCAAATGGCATTGAATAAAGCTTCACTACAAGCTTAAATGTTTGTTTTTCTTTCCATTCTCATTACAAAAAGTGCATTCTTCTATATTTCATGTCCCTTTAGGACATGGACGATTATGACTCTCCACAATTTCTTGCCCTTTATAGCTCTAAGTAAAGTTTTTCTTTTTGCTATCTCTCTTAATCCCTGTTCTGCCAATCATTCACACCACCTCATTAGGTAAGTTATGCAATACTTTTTAGTTGCACTTGCCTTCAACATGTCCTGTGAGTGTCAAATTTTCTGAGCCCTCTGTCCTCATTATGTACCCTAGAAATTTCAACTGTCTCTTTCTGGTTTTGCATATAAGTGTCCTTTTGGTTTTCATTTTTTTTCAAAACTTCTTTGTTGCTTACAGTCCTTAACTGTATTCTTAGCATCTTTCTGTAGAACCACATTTCTCAAATCTCTTCTTCATCTGTGATGAAGTTGTCCAGCATTCATTGCCATATATGAGGACAGATTTTATACCACAGTTCAGTACTCTTTGTTTTTAATGAAACTTTCAAAGTGCAGAGCATTCCTAATTTATTTTGTGAAAAGATTTCAGCAAGTCTATTAATGCTTTTTAAAATTTATTAGCACATTTCACAAATTTGTGATAATACTGTTAACTGTGATAATTTTTTATGCCTCTTGATTCCTTGGGGAACATAGAGTTGCAACAACACCTCTCCAACAGATGTGGTTCCAAGCAATCCTCTTCAGCTTCGCACATGTCATGCTGGCTGCCTTTACCTCTGCATCTACATTTCTGCACCAAGTCTGTTTTGGTCAATCCAATTTCCACTTCCCTTGTAGATTTCAGTCAAGGGTCTGCCTGGTGACACTAGAAGCAGGTTTGTGGATTGTGTGGCCAATCTATCCCCATTTCTGTTTCTTGATGTCAATCTCAATTGGAGGTTGTCTGCTCCTGTCCCACAGTTGGTCTTTGGAGACGACTTCAGGTCACATGATATTGAGGATGTTCCTGAGACATCGGTTGGTAAATGTCTGAAGTTTGTTGGTCTTGGTCAAAGATTACATAATTAAATTATTGTCAAGCATGCTGTATAGAACATTGTTTCCCAAGCTATGACTAAAAATGATCTGGTGAAAGCATTTTTAAAATCAAATCTTCAGGATGGTTTTTATCGTCATTAGGACAAATTTGGCAGGTTATATTATTATTATTGTGCCTCTTGATTCCTTGGGGAACATAGGGCCGCAACAACACATCTCTAATGGATGTGGTTCCAGGCGATCCTCTTCAACTTGGTCGATGTCATGCCAGCTGTTAACATTTCTGCACCAAGTCTGTTTTGGTCGACCCACTTTTTGCTTCCCTTGTGGATTCCAGTCAAAGGTCTGCCTGCCTGGTGATACTAGAAGCAGGCTTCTGGATTGTGTGGCTGATCCATCCCCATTTCTGTTTCTTGATGTCAATCTTGACTGGGACTTGTCTGATCCTGTTCCATAGTTGGTAGTTGGAGACGACTTCCATTTACCTGATATTGAGGATGTTCCTGAGACATCGGTTGGTAAATGTCTGAAGTTTGTAGGTGTTGGTCTTGTTTTCCCACCAGGTTTCTGAGCCGTAAAGTTGGACTCACTTGATGTTGGTGTTGAAGATCGAGATTTTGTTGTAAAGTGAGAATTGTTGATCTCCAGATTGGCCGTGGAGTGTTGAAAATGTGTCAGGCTTTATTGATCTGGCACTTGATGTCTTCATCTGTCCCTCATCTTAACTGATGATGTTTCCCAAGTAGACAAACTTATCAAATGTGATAATATAGGTCACAATAATTGTGATATAGCTGTAAGCAATATCTTATTGAAACACTGATTCTCATCTGATCATTGAAGTTAAGCAATGTTGAGCTAGATTAGTACCTAAATGAGTAACCTCTTGAGAATTTCAGGTGTTGTAAGCTTGGATGTGCATGTGGTCTAATGGATAATGACTTGGATTGAGAAATCGGAAAGCTGGGATTGAGTTCCAGACCGGTTCAAAGCAAATACGCTTGGGTGATCATGAATTAAAAAAAACACATGATCACATCTGTACTGACCCATTCCTCCCTATGAATCTGAGAAAGGCTTACATCTGATAGGATAAGAAGAAGAATTGTAATATGAATTTTTGATACCATTGCATCTCCATTTGGAGGAAAGAATTTTGTACCTATACTTCAAGATTGGCTGTGAATCCATTGAAAGTGAAACACATTCCGGAAGGCTGTTGCAGATTTGAATCAACCAACAACAAAGAAAAGGTGTAAAAAGTGTTTAAATATAAAAATATAAAGTATTTTTATTTTCATGTTTTTTTTACAACTAAATTTATTTTAGTGTGTATGAGTGATAAAGTCCTTACAGTCCTTGTTTGTAGAAGTGAACTGATTTCTTTGCATGTAAGTGTGAGAAAGAAGAAGCAATGGCAAAAGTAAGGAAAGTGTGTTTTGTGATGTCAACAAACACTCGTTGTCACTTTTGTAATCTCAACAAATACTCATTGTCACTTTCGTAATACTCATTGTAGTAGAGACTTTGTAATCGCAGATACAACTATAGTAATGCAGTTAAACAATATTGGTGTCAGACACCTTCGAATAACACTTGCACTAATAGTACTTGTTCAATAATACTCACTTGAAATGTAACCCCTGAAATAGTGATCCAAAAAGTAAACATTATAGTGATCTGAATAGTAATCTCTATAGTGATCCAAATAGTAATCCGTATAGTGATCTGAATAGTAATCTGTGTAGTGATCAGTATAGAGAAATAGTATAGTGAATAGTATAGAGAATAGTGATCTGTATAGTAATAGAGGATAGAAGAGAAATGGTGATCAATTAGATGCCACGCTAATTCCCATATATACATTTTCTTTACAATCACTTGATCTACTTATTCAAAACAGGATCACCTGTGTTTGCTCACTGGTGATCTGTGTTAAAATTCCAGTGTCAGCAGTGACAGTTTATTCCTATATAACAAAACATTGAGTATCACAAAGAATTTCTTGAAATTGTCATAAAATTAAATAGGTGGCAGGGGGTAACAAGTGTAAAAAAAAGATTTTCTAAAAAATTCAAATAACACTCACTCTAATAGTACTTGCTCAATAATACTCACTCGAAAACTAACCACCAAATAGTGATCCGAAAAGTAAACCTTATAGTGATCCAAATAGTAATCCAGATAGTGATTCGAATAGTAATCTGTATAGTGATCACTTAGACACCATGCTAATTCTCATATATACATTTCCTTTATGATCACTTGATCTACTTATTCAAAATGGGATCACTTGTGTTTGCTCTCTGGTGATATGTGTTCAAACTCCAGTGTCAGCAGTGACACTTTATTCCTATGGAGTCTATAATTCTTCAGCTTTGATTCAATAGTTAGGAATTCTGCTGCCAGTCTTTTTTTTTGTTTTTTGCCATAAACCCTTGATTCAACAATTTCTGATGGCGTGGGTATGTTAAACGTGTTATACAGACTTTTTATTGGTACCTCTTTTCAGGGACTTTTGAAATCAGTGAATCTATATTTTAATGGATTAAGGTGTCGCTTATGGTCCCACTTTTGTCCCTGTACGATGTACTTGTATTGTTATTTCTTGATGTTTTCAACTTGTATTCTAGTAATAACTTATTGAAAACGGACTTAATTTTCCTGGCAAACATCAACTCTACGAGCAACATTCCAGACGCAGTGTTTAGGTTTGGTGTTATTCTGTAAACATTCAGAAATTGCTGAATCATTACTTTATCTGACTCCTCTCCCTCTGACATTTTTAGCACCCTTTTAAATTGATATGTCCCGGAAAGGGATATATTTGAACGAAGTAGCTAAGTGGTTTTGGCTACTATAACCAAGTAGAATACAGTAGCTGTAATTGACTGGTATGCGTCATAGTTGCAGGTAAGAAGTGTAGATCAATGGCGTAGTCCAGTGGGCGTCGTTATAGACTTAGCTCTCAGACTAAGGCTTTCACTCTCCTACATGTCCGTTGATATTTATGACGGACACCAGCCAATCATATTCCAGTGTGGGGGAACACAGGTGTACGCATATTCCATTATATCATAAACATATCGCTGAACCGTTCCACTGGTCTGTTTGATCTTGGGTGATAAAGGGGAGTTGTAATATGTTCTACTGCTAATGATTTGCAAAAAAACTTAAATTCACAAGACATGAATTGAATCCTGTTATCTGAAACAATCGAGTCAGGAACACCTTGCAAAACCTTGCAAAAATTTCATGTAGGAAATTTATTGTTACCGTGGTTGTCAGTCTTCTACATTTTAATATTTCTGGCCATTTAGTATAACTATCAACTACCACTAGATATTATGCTCTATTTAACGGTCCTGCAAAGTCTATATATATCCTGGACCATGGCATATCAGTTTTTAGCCAAGGTTGAATTTTGATAGGTGGTGACTTCACTGCCAGAGCACAACCTCTGCATGATTTCACTAAATTTTCAATATCTTGATCCATTTTTAGCCATTAAGTATAACACCTCATTAAGGATTTCATTCTAGAAATTCCTAGATGTCTTCTGTGAAATTCTTTTAACATATGTCTTTGCAATGATGCTGGTATCACCATTCTCTCTGCGTACATAAGCACATCATTACATAATGAAAATTATTTCCGATAATATTTTTTTTTAGATTTTAATTTCTCCTTCATTTTCATTATAAAGTTGTCTTTCCCCACCTTAATTTTTATTTCCTCCAATGTTATGGGCAGTTCTCTTACAGTATTGTATAATATGTTATTAATTTTATTTTCGGCCCTTATCGTCACAATTACTGTGTCTTCAAGTGGTTCACAGAATCTTGGTATTAGTCTAGATAATCTGTCTGCATGACATAATTTTTTTGATGGTAGAAACTCCATTTTATAATTATAGTTCAATAGGATAGTTCCCCTGCGCTGCAGTCTATTTGCTGTATGTGTGGGGACACCCTTTTTTGATCCGTATATGGACAATAATGGATGATGGTCTGTCTGTAGTATGAATTCTCTATTATGTATGAAGTTACCTTTATACTAAAAGGAAGTCAGTTGAATTAGTAAAACACTCTGTTGAGATGTTGTGAGTTTCCCGCATTTCGGTGTATGAATCAAGACAAACACAGTTGTAGAGGAAAATACTGGTATATTCATAAAAGCAATTAACAATAGAGTGATTAGTAGAACGAAGGTTGGTTAGTACGAAACAATATCCAAAGTCTATAGTCCAACGGTATGTACCGGGTAAGCTTATCTGGACTGCTAAGATATTCAGCCACCCCCCCACGAAGGTGTCATGTGGCACAAGGCCTTTTTAACGTGGGCATTCCTGAGCCATTAGGCTCGGCCAAAAAATAGCCCATTTGAACCCGTATAAACGGGTTCAGGGGATGCCATTTACCTCCCGAAGGAACTTCGCCCTTCGCAGCGTAGCCTCCCCGGGGTTCCTGAAAAATCCGGAGACAGAGAGTTGAACCGATCAGTCGCTCAGAAAGTATCTGGACTGCTAACGCCGACTCTCTCCCCAGAGCTGACTTATATAAGAGGGACCAGTCCATTACTAGTTAGAAGGTGGGTGCGCCCCAACACACTCTATGATTGTGTTAATTAATTGTTAATAATTGTGAGCAGTCATCACCTACTAGTATTTGTAGGTAAGTGTCTAACAGGTCCAATTTTTTAAAAAAATTACCTCCACTCAATTTGGCAAAAATTTCCTGTGGACTTGGTAACAGGTAATTATGTTGTTTCAAAGTTTCATTTAACCCTGTTGAAAAATCAGCACATACACAGATTTTATTATTCCTTTTTTTAATGTAGATTGTTGGTGATGCCCATTCAGAATAGTCTATTTTTGAGATCATGCCTAATTTTTCTAGTCTACCCAATTCATTATTAATTGGATCTAAGGTACATTAATTTTTGGCTTAAATGTCGGTGTTACATTGTCTTTTAACTCAAACTTGGCTTTTGCTTTTATGCATGTCCCTTGACCTTCTGAGAAAATTTCTGGAAAAATCTTTTTCAGTTCATTTTTCAATTTTTCATTTGCTGTACTAATACCGAGGGTAACAACATTTATCTTGTTGTAAAAAGAGTTAACTGGAAGTTCCCAAAGATCAAACAATCAATCAAACAACTTAGCAGTATTCTTTAATACAAATACCACCGCTATTTTGGGTTTTCCCGCAAAAGAAACGTTACAGCTGAATTCAACCCAAAAGTCCAATTTCTTTCCTAAGACTTCATGCCCAACTTTATCAGAAATCAATAAACTGGGTTTACCCATTTTTCTCCATGTCTGTTCATTTATGGCAGTGATATCAGATCCTGAAGAAGGAAATTACTGGAAAGTAAATGAAACTCACCTGAAGCGAGCTGAATGTGTAATGCTCCTCATGCCAATGACACTTCCACCGAGCTTCACTACAGCTTTTGACTTCACTGAATTTGATGTGTTCCTCTCGAATTTTAAATTGGGGTCATCAGGAGAGAATGCACCGTTTGGGGCCTTCCTCTCAAGGTTTCAGTTGCACACCAGCCCCCCTCACTGATGTGAGGCCCCATTATAACGATATACAAGTCTTGTAGATAAACTAGTTCAAATGTGTAGGACGAAATTAAATTTACGAAAATTCGAAAGCAGCAAACCTCGCGTTCTGGGAATGCAGCGTGAACCTCATTACGCATTCCACGATCAGTCATGTCATGCCGTCATGTTATCAGAGTATTTTGTTTTTTCCATATCCACATAGAACTATTTTCTGTTACTTCTACTAGGCGTTTTATACTCTTGGCCCTATTACGCCCTTTGATTCCAATTTGGCCCAGAAATTGGTACAGAGTGCCTGAAAAGAAACCCCTTGCTCCAATTTCCACTGCTCTAACAA